GGTGGTTTGGAGCGGTCACTTTCGTTACGTTGGTGTATTTAGTTATCAATCAATGTGTTGAATTCGTCAGTGGAGAGCGACATATTCCTTTCTAAGTGGATTTCGTAGCTGACTAATTATAGTCCCATGTTGCAGTACTTCAGAATTTAGACTCAGGGTAAGAAACATATAAATATATATATATATATATTAGTTGACTTGTTTCTAAATTTCTATTATCATATTGTGTTTGCGAAAAACTTATTGCATTTTCCCTTTTTATTTTGTCATGTTTGTTTGAGCTCTTATTGTACTTTCGGCATTTCTGATGTTTTAAATTATCCATCAACACAAAAAATCAGTTTAAATGATAGACAGTATTTTATGTTTTCTAGATCTCGTCCATCAACGGGTACCTAGCTAGATCATCAATATTTTTTCCAAGAGTTCAATCATTAAATCTTCCTTGAATCTAACATTTGTGTCCACTAACTAATTGAAAGATTTTAGAAATAGAGTTAACCAAATGTTGATACGATGATAAATAATACTCATAAGTTTTTTCAAATCAGAAAATTTAGAAAGATTTATTTGATGTTCAAGAAAGAAATAGGAGAGAAGAAGAGAGAGATGAGAGATGAGCCATAGGAGATGAGAGATGAGAAATGAGAGAGAACATTAAAGCAGAAAACTTTGGTTAATAGTAATTTTTGTCATTTTAATTTATCAAAATAAGTATTATTAACAACATTGTGACTTGAGTTAATTGATTTAATATTTAATTTTATGAACTTCTTAAACTTACTAAATTAACATATGTAATTTAAAAAAAAGTCAACATATCTTTTTTAGCAATCAAGTATATTTGAAATGATAGTTCTTTTGAATGCATAATCAATTAGAAACTATTTTATCTATTATTTTGATGTACCTCTTTCATCCCCTCCTCCTCCTAGTTGCAGTCTAGTGATCTTACATATTCCTCGCTTTCCAGCGGTAGATGTGCAGTATTCAGTCATTAGAAACATGTTGAAACTCTCTTTCCCATATGAAGTCATAATTGCATTTTATCCCAACGGGGTTGAGGGCGGGGTTGTGGATTTCTCTTTGACCTGGTAGTTTTTTCCACCTTCCATTGGTTACTTTGGTGTACCCCTTTTATCTATCCATTTTCAAAAATATCCATGTTTTATATGAAAATGATAAAGTCTTATAATATAGTTTATAAGGTACATCTAGATAATAACTATTACTGGAAGATTCGGTCTCAATAATTTATAACGTTTTAAAAGGCTTTATATTGTTTTTACAAAGTTTTTAAAAGATTTTGAAAAGAGTTTATAAGATTTTAAAAAGGTTTTAAAGTTTTTATTATATATTTGTACGGTATTTATGAAAGATATATAAAACTTTATACACATATAATGGTAATTTGTGTGTATATTTATAAGCTGACCTACGTATTTGAATAAATTTCAATATCTTTAGTGGCTTTTTTGGTAAAGTTTGAAAATGAGGTATTTTTAAAAAGTGGTATTTAATAAGCGATATTTTTGAAATCCCCTCTTTTATAACTATATATATATATATATTGAGTTTAACTAAAATTTAAACTCAATTGATTTAACTTATATTCATAATTCTATACAATTAAATCTAGTAAATGTTAATTATTTGATTTATACATAAAACATTAAAGTCATATATTATTTATATAAAATGGATAGCTAATACATGATTCAGTCGTGTTAATTTTTTTTTAAATATGAAATTTGACATAGTGACGTTCACACTTTGGACTTTGGAGAGCTCCTTCAATTATTATATGTATAATTTAATAATTTTAATCCAATTAAATATTAAACTGAGTGGTGATACTTTTCGAACAAAAACATAGTTTAACGGTAGTTTAGGATATTTCTCTTAACTTAGTCTTGACATTTGTTCAAATTTTTTTCATAAGTGATTAAAGTATTAGAAACTTCACGTACTAGATGGTTAAATGCTAATTATTGACATGTGCTATTTGAGAACATAAACATGCTTAATAGTTACTATCATCATCATTTGACAATTGATATGATAGCATATTTAAACAAATAGAAGCAACCAAGTTAAAGAGAAAGAGTAAGAGACTAAACCACAATGTTTAGTTAGATGCCATGTCAAATTTGGTTCGGCGAGGAGGTGTAAGAGTTCAAGGAGGTCTCGGTCATGTAGTAGGAGGTCAATGAGAGGTATACGATTAGATTGACTTGTCCTCTAAAAACAAAACAAAAAATATTTATTGTCATCAATGTAAACATATGCTACTTCTAACAAATGGCTTAACTCTAATAAACATATGCTATTATTTGGGTTTGAATGCGAAGAAACCAAATGGTATTATATATAAAAAAAAATAATAAGAAATGGTATTAGATAAAAATATTTTTAAAGCATAAGGAATGTAGAAACAAGTTTTGTGATCTATACCTAAAATATTGACAGCCTTTGTAAATGAAAATCAGACTAGGATGATAGTAAGCACAAATTTTTGCATGTCATAGAAAAGATCATTATCCTAAAAGTCATTTGATAATAGTGGGATTTGATGGAAAAAAATCAAATTGTTGCTCTAAATGTTTTTCTGATTAAAATTAAAAATGAAATATAATCAAATTTAAATATAGTCTCGGTTAGAAGAGAGAGAACTTCCAAAACACTTAAGTTTTTGTTTACTTTCACATACAAAATTTGAATCCTTGGATAGAGAAAAAAAAACACAAACAATCTATGGTAAAGGTTTGAATTTCTAATCAAAAATTAGACAAAAAAGTGCAAATCATATTCTCATGTTCGTTCCTTTTTCTAATAGATTTGATAAACTGGAATACAAGTAACACCAAGCACAAGTGATATAAACTTGTGATCATTACTAATAGACCTTGCTTAGTGGGTTACCACATATTAAAATTTAAATTCTAATTAATCCATATATGGTTAAGTTCTTTAGTATTTCATAACAAAGAATTACTATTAATAAATAAATAATTCTCTTACAAAGATAAGTAATCACTACTTTATCTATATATTCACCAAGTCTTCTATCCCAAGTCTATCTAAGATATAAACACTAGCTAAAGTCATCATATACAGCAGTAAAACTGTCTCATAGTTGTCTACATAATGGAAGGCCCAAAGCCTTTCCAAGATCACTCGTGGCCATAAGCGATAAAATTATATTTTTCTTATGTAAACCAAAAATGTTCACAATAATAACATAAAAATGTTTACCAGAATGAATATTTTCATATAAAAAAGTAAATAAAATTGTATTAAAATTAGTATTAAAAAAACTTTTTTAGAAGGTAATTAGTCACCTAAACTGTATTTTCTACCAATTTTTAACCAAAATTTTGCAATCCAATTTTCTTTAACTAAATTTTGTTTAATATAGTCAGAAGTTAGCTTACATTCATTTAACTAAAAGTATATGATAGAAAAAAAAAAATCTCTAACTGTTTCTAAAATAACTAATGTCGTAGACAAAAGTGTTCTAAATTATAGTTGTAGGCACAACTGAAGGATGTAATGTGCAAATATTGGAGTATGTAATGTGCAAGTGTTAAAAACATATTCATATAGAACAGAGAAGAGGCAGCACCAGAGAATGCATGTGCTAGAAACCCTTCATATAGTTACCTTCAGTTTCTGATTTTAAAAGATACACTTTTATTTGCTTACCTAAATGACATAGAAGACTATGAGTACCTGTTGGGTTTTTTATAGTAAATTTGGAAAAATGTCATGTTTTAAATATTATTTTTTTTAAATCGTTTTTAGTTTCTTTTAAGAAAAATAACTTCTAATATATAAAATAACTTAATTTATCTAACTAAAAGTTAATAAATTTTAACAGAAGATTATAGAGAATTTTTGAGAAATACCCTTTTTGGTGTACCCCTTTCTAAAAATACCCCATTTTTCTATCCATTTTCAAAAATACCCCTTTTTAAATATAAAAATTTATAAAGTTTTATATAGTTTATAAGGTACTTCTATATAATAACTACTACTGGGAGATTCAATACAAATATTTTACAATGTTTTAAATAGTTTTAAATCGTTTTTATAAGTTTTATAAGGTTTTTAAAATGTTTTTAAAAGGGTTTATACGGTTTTTATAAGGTTTTTATAAGGTTTTTATAATTTATTTTTACGCTATTTATGAAAGGTATATAAAGTTTTATACACATATAAATGTAATTTGTGTATATATTTATAAGCTTACACACATATTTGGATAAATTTCAACATTTTTAGTGGGGTTTTTGATAAAGTTTGAAAATGGGGTATTTTTAAAAAGAGGTTTATGAAAAGGGGTATTTTTTGAAATTCCCACAAGATTATATTATACAATAAAAATCAATTTTAATTATAGATCAATAATTTAGTTTCATTAAATTATTATATAACTAACAAATATAAAGAAAATTTTATCATAAATATTTGTTAAATATAAAAAGAGAATACTGGCATAGAAAAAAAACAGTTTTTTATGATTGACTCACATATATGTATAAAAATCCCAAAGAAAACAAAAAAATTATGCATTTATCTTACAATTTTGGTTCAAAGTACTAAGTTTTGGAAAATTTTGGGTAGTTTTTAATAATAATATATCATGAGCTTTGGAAATTTTGGTTTTACATAAGCATGATAAATATTCAACTATAAGTTTATAATATTTATAGAAAATTAATACAAAATAAGAAAATATCTTTATATTAAAAGGAAAAAATTAATGATAATTATATTTATTTCCGAATTTAAAATATTTTCTCCTATAAATTTTAAATATAGTTTTGATTTAGTAAACTAAATCTTTTAATTTAAATGAAGACAACATTATTTTTTATATATATTAAAAGATAAAAATGTAATTTTTTATTTAAAATAGAAAAAGGTGTTTTTCAAACTAAAACTTAGTTACACCTTTTCTCTCAAGAGTCAAGTCCTATCAAGTAAACGACAGCGTTTCTTTCACCTTCATCAAAACAGTAAACCCGAAGTCTTCTTCTTTCTTCTTCCCATCGATTCCGACATCGAATCTCAGTGAATTCTTCGTTGTCTTAGCTTGTTAAAACCTAAACCCTCGATTCCGACATCGATGAAGTGAGCGCTGCTTCGTCCGCCGCTGTATTCGATTCTGAAGTCAAAACACAAAATTCATCGATTTCTGCTTCAACAGAGGTCCTTCAACGAACCTGTATATTTTCCTTTGCTTTGCAAATTTGATATTTTGATTTCAGTTTCGTAATCTGAAGGTATGAATTGGTCATGGGTGTTTGTTAGATTTGATTGTTGAAATCAATGTTTAGTTGAATGGAGCGTGAAGATTGAACATTTACTCTCTACTCTTAGAATTGAGAATTGGGTATGTGAACATAATAATGGTTCAATAGATTCTTTGAACTTTCTTTACTCTGTCTCTCTGAGGCTCACAAATTTGCAATCTTTGCGGAGATCTGAGGCAACCCTTTTCTCCTCTGGTTAGTTCTTTTAAAACCCTTTTCTTGTTGTTAGTTTTATACGTCTTACTGATGTATGCTCTTGATTAAGAACTGGTGAGCCTTGTTATAAGCAGAACGTCTTGGTTACTTTTGCAAACATGTGTCCTGAGATTCATGAGTGATGTTTGTTTTTATACAAATGGGTCAATGACGAGTCTGTTTTTTAATAGTCAGGTTAGTTCTTGATGGCTAGTTATGCATAATATGGTGTAGCAGAACAAAGAAACATATAATTTGCTAGCTAATAAGAGATCAAAGATCATACCACACTGGAAATATTGGATTGTCGAAGAGCATAAAGCTGTGTGCTTTCCATGTTTTCAAGTCTTGAATGTAGTTGTGGTTGTTGTTGCAGGTTCTTGATTGCCACAGAAGGGATTTGGCCTGTAGGGATCAACTGAGGCTGAGGTTGGATCTCTTTATTTGCCCAGCTCTTTGTTTGTTTATTTTCTCAGACCTTATCTATTTGCTCAGCTCTTATAGAGTGTTGAGTACTTGGTGTTCTTAATTAGGCATATACTGGATTACTTATTTACTTCAAACTTTGCTTATTGAACATTACTTATTGAAAGCAGAACGTCTAGGTTACTTTTGCATTCGTCTAAGATACTTGTTCATGAGTCTGTTTTGGATGATCTGTTTAACTCTTAAGCTACTGTTTCATTCGAGGATTTTTGTGTCCCCTTTTAGGTTTCAAAACCAGTCTTGTTTGATTCACTTTTGGCTCATCATGTGTCCTGATTTATGAGTGATGTTTTGGAGTTCTTGTTTCAGATTCTAATCTCTAGTATTCCAGTTTTTGCATGTTTAGGATGAAACTATATTGGTTGTGAGATTCATTCATGAATGATGTTCTTAAACATGAAGTGCTGAATTTAGAAGCTCTCATTTCAGTTTCAGTTCTCTAATATTTCTAGGCTGTGCTTTTGTTTACGATAAAGCAAAACTATATTGTTTGAGTAGATTGATTCATGAATGAATGAAAAGCATATAAGTCTGTGAGTTTTTGATGCTTTGTTCTTACAATCTTGCTCTCAGACCATCATCTACAGCTTCTTGGATAATATGCGAATAGAGAATTGTAGATTATTTAAGGTTTTGTTGGAATCGATCGAAGCATATTCATGATTTTTGAATACCTGACTTTGGTTTGATTTTTCAGGAGCAAACTCTCTTGGCGTCGACGCAGTCTTTGTTTTGTTGCAAACGAATTCAAGTTTAAGTGTCTGGCCTGTAAACGGCGCGCTGCTCAATCCGCATAGATGAAAATGTATGTTCAACAAAGTCTCATTCTCTCTCAATCTATGTACTCTCCATCTTTAGTTCTATTATTGTTGCTTGATTCCTTCCTTTTCTGTTTGTAATCGAAATATTTGTGTGGGTGTTGCAGAGTTAAGGCAAATGCAGGAGCACTTACCAATTTCGAGGTGCTTGACTTCCTAAATTCAAGAGGTGCATCAAAGGATACAACTAGAGTTATAGCTCCAATTGCTATATCAGAATACAAGGTTTCTTTTCTCTGATCCTTACTTAAACCTTTGAAGGGCTTTTAAGCTAATTCAAACCATCTTTTTATTAGGTCTATGATTACTTAGTGGAGACTGCTGCTTCCACTCAAACACGAGAGAGCGTTAACAAATTTGCAGACAAGTGCAAAGATTTCAAAGTCGCAAAAGCTGAGATTCTCAACATCATCAATCTCCGGCCTTCTTCTGCTGTCGAGTTGGCACCGGTTTGTGTTTCTTCTTGTTTTTTTTTCTCTGTCTTCACTACCAAATGCCATGAACATATATATTGCTGCATTTAACAGTTTGTTGTATGTATAACATATATAACATATCAACTCACTTGTTGTGACTATCTTGTAGATCATAGAGACACCCAAGAAAGGGGAAAAAGAACGAAAAATCGACACTGATGGGATATTAGAGCTTGTGAAGGATTTGCTACCTCCTTTGCCTACAACTGATGAAACTCCTGAAGATAATGACGAAGAGGAAACTGAGAACGGTGAAGAGTCGTAGTAACATGCAAATGAAGTTTTCTGAGTTGTTATCTTTGTTTAGCTTAGAATGTTTTTATGAATCTGAAATTGTACTAAACTAAATTGAGTCACAAATTAAAAAAAAACAAAGAAATAAATTGTGCACCATAAAGGTTTGTTGTATCTTCAAAGTTCAAACAATTAGGTCCATGCATTACGCCTCAAAAGTTTATAGGAATATATTCTACAACCATACTAAAAAGAATATTTGGTTTTGTGCATTGTTGTAGATCTCGTGTAAGATATTTGGACGTAGTAGAAGTATTAATCTATTATCTATAATCTATAAATTATAGTTTTTTAGTCGAATATATATATTTCAAATCAGAATTTTCGTATATATTAGACATAATCGAGCATACCTTATGGATGACTAAAAGTATTGTCTTAATTCCAACGGGAGGTGAAAAATGACTATTCAAGATTTTCATAAACACCTAAAAAACGCTCAATTAGGAGTTCAGGTCTTTAAAAGTATCTCGTACTATCAAGCTCTGATTATTTTCGTTAAAATACAATTTATACAATTAATTGGGAAGTACAACTTGAAACCAAACACCTCCAATTTAAAAAAAAATGTCATGAAATATATTCCAGTTGCCAAATAGAATTAATGACAGCAAAAAAAAAAAAACAAAACAAAAAAGAACAAAAACAAAAACTATCTATATTTATGGAAATCATAATAATCTTTTATCATAAAAAGTGGACAATTAAATTCAAAATTAAATATATGTAAACATATCTATTTTGAATATACATAAAAATATTTAATATTAATTTAATATTTTAATATAATTTCGAAATTAATAATTTATATAGAATGAAATCTAATAAAACAAAATCATCATATATCTAAAAAACAAAAATAACATTTTCTTATAAAAATAAAATGATAAAAAATATGTTAGCATATGAAATAATCAACTAATCAAATTCTACATAGTATATATACATAACTGATCATATCATCAAATTTAAATAAATCAATAATTAAATATTTATTTGCTAAAATCATGCGAATAAACATTGTACATCACATAAATTTCTTATTTTCACATAAAAAATATTCATAAAAGCAATCTAGCAATTATAGCACAAAAGATATCTACAAAATTTATCATTAATTCAATTAGTTAATGATTTTTTATTTGGTCAAACAGTTAATTAATGATTATTCTAAACTTCTTTTTTCTTATTAATTTCACACAATCTTAACAAAATAAATCTTCATCCATGGCAATTTGCATATCATTACAATTATCAAATATTAAATAATTATTTTATCAAATCATAAACTACATTTTGAGATTATAAACATATAGAATTTCTATTAAGATTAAAACTAAATAACAAGTGGATATATCACATTTAAATGATTTTAACGACTTATTACTAATTTTTAAATAATAAATGGATTATATTTTTATGATTTAATCTAATTGAAAACAAATAAAATTTTCAAATTGGTATGATATAAATGATATAATATATAAATATCTACAAACATTATCTCACATATACTTACAATTTTAAACTATCCTTGACAAATATGATATATAAGTTTTGGATAACCGGTTGAAATAAAAAAATTGGTAGTTATATTTAATTCTCAAAATCTGAAAATATTGAACAAAATTCAACTTTGGGATGTATAGATCTCTACTTTTGGACGATTATATGAAATTTTACATATATTAAAATTATATTTAGTTACATGTAAATGATGTTATTTATTAAAAAATAAATATAAACTTATAGGAATGGATACGAGACGGTAACATATAATTAGAAAACAAACATTATATGAATTATTTCTCATAAAAAAAAACAAAACTTGATTAGATATAAGTGTTATGAGACACGGTTATAAAGTTAAATTCACTTTCAACTTTCAAATATAAAACTACGAGTACGATACAGGAACATGTAATTGAAAATGCTAAATTTAATTTCCAATTTACTATTTATTTCAAAAATTTAGACATGAAATGACGGGTACAAGAAGATAACGTATACTTCGGATAACAAAACTACAATAAATCCATGTATTAAAAAAATAGAAATATTTGAATCTTTAGAAAACAAAAAGGCTAAAACATGAATCTTTGAATTGAAGAAAGTAATGAGAAATAAAGATGAAACTGAAAGATCAATAAAATTAAAAATCGAACAAGGATTGTGTATGCTAGAATTACAGACAGTGCCTTGTGAATGGAAATGATGGGAGCATGTGACTTAGATTGATAATTAGATTTTTATTAGTTCGATAAAAATAAATATTTAAACGAGGAATATGGGTATCCCGTCTAAATCTTTTACCAAGTTTCTTATAATAAACATTGCCAAATGATTATGTCTTAAAAAGAAACGATTATGGGACATAAATTTTATGACAGATAGAAGACAGGACGGGGCGGGGTGGGACGGGATGGGTCAGGACGAGACGGAAAGGGATATGACGGGTTTTCCATTATAAACTACACATAAAACAATTCAAACTAAAGCCAAACACAAATCTGATTTAACATCTCTAAGCAAACAGTTAGAAATATTTTGATTAGTTTAAAAAATAAACACGTAATATCACTTATCATTTTCATTTAAATAATTTTAAAATAGTATTATGTAATACAATATCTATATTTTACAACTGTATGTTTATATATAGTTTATCAAATAAACTCATATAACAAAATTTTACCAAAATACCATCTACTTGAAAAATCATAATTTTGTAAAAATAACCCGCACGTACGTGCGGGTCCATCACTAGTTGTTTTTACAGGGCTTCACTAAATGGCTTCACAAAAAAAAATTGCTTTTACAAACAAATATATTTATTCATCTTATTTCTTTACAAAAATTTTAAATGAAATTAAAGTAGAAAATGAAATTGATCATTTACATTTGAAACTTTTTGATTTATTTAATCATTCAATCACTTTACTAATCAAAAATATTTTTAACCGGTTTTTAACTTAATCGTCTTTTTTATAATCTCTAACAATGGCCTTGATTGGTTGTTATTGTAGCTTTAGATTTTTATCTATAGATTTAGAGTTGTGGAATTTTTGGTTGTGGCTGTAGATTTTTTTGCCGTAGTATTTTGGCGGTAGGAATTAATTTTTGGAAAGCTGAAAAATATATGCTTTAGAAAAAATGGCTTTGTACACCAAACAAAAATAATTAAGGAAATATTTTGGGTGTGAATCAAAAAAGGAAATACAAAATTTATAAAGTTTGATTGCTGTGAATTTGTAGCTTTGGACAAAATATGGCTGTAGAAAGACTCTAAAGCAGCAACCAAAATATGGCCAATATCTTGTTGTTATCATCAATAATTAAACGAATTAGTTGTTAAAAATGGCCAACATTAGAATATATGTAATAGTTTGAAAATATATATTTAGTCACCTATTCGAGAACTACCAAAAAACAATTTTCAACCGCTTTATTCAAACAAACTTAACAATTAAATCCTCAACGTTTTAGAACTATTACAATTTTGAAAATGCCAAAAATAAAAATTTCGATAACATTTATACAAAAATGGTATCGAAATTTATTTTAAAAATTTTCAAAAATGCTCTAAATTTTTTTTTATTGAAATTGCAATCACAGAATCACAACAGTAAACTGTATGTTGAAAAATGGTAATTATTTTTGTTTTTTTTAATAACAATATCATATTTCATAATGTTACATAACATAAGATAAAGTACAATAATAGTAATAAACAAACAAAAATGAGTGGATGCATGTAGTCAGCTTTGGCTATGAAGAGACTAAAAGAGTGGTGGGGTTTCCACAAGGCATATCACATGGCCTGTCTTCTAAATCCAAACTAAAGCAGACAACAACGTTTGTCTTCTCTTCCTCCCAAAAACAATCCACCATTTTGGCTTTTCTTCACCTTATTATTGATTATTTATATAAACTATCCAATTTTGGATTACAAATGTTGGATCAAAAACAGTTAACATTAGAATTTGCCTGTGGTGAAGAAGAGGCCACAACAGCCTGATGCTTTAAGGCAACCTGTAACTATACACTATTTTAATATATGTTTGACCAAACAAATTATACATGAAAGAATATAAAAAAAAAGGATGACTTATATTATAAGTTTTATAAACCCTAACAATATGGCTAAGCCATGTGTTTTTGCTTATTATGATGATATGTTGAATTGAGTTGACTAGAGAACAACCAACAAAAGTGACAGAGTTGTATTGTTCATTTGGTCACTCTTGCATGATAAAATAGTTTATGTGGAAATGTCATAAAATTATTCTTTTACCAAAAAAAGTGAGAAAAATTTAGATTGTTTCTTGATTGCTATATTGGTTCTTTGGACTTAAAACTTACATAGAACCGTTGCATTATAGAGATGTGTTTGATGGATAGAGAGATTATTAAAACATGAGATGAGTTAATATGAATTTCACACACACACAAAAAAATATAGATGGCTTCACCATCATCATCAACAATATAGATGAGTGTTTGGTGCCAATAGGAATACAAACCCAAGTCAGGTAAGTAGGTAACAGTAGTAACAGAGTTATTAAGAAAGAATGTTACAGAGATATTCAGAACCATATTGATACATCTTGTTGTTGCTGCTGCTGCTGCTGCTTCCCAATTCCTTCCATTGCTCCGGTTTGCCAATCATCTCTGTAATCGAATGCAGCCATATCGAACGGTGTTGAATCAAACACCATCTGAAACCGGTTGTTGATTCCGCTGTTTGTTCCTTGTTGCATAAACATTTGATTGCTGTTGTTGAAACTCAGCTGGTTCTGATTCTGAGCTGCTTTTGCATCAAGAGTCATGGTTTGATTTTCAATCAATGGAGGAGGAGGAGTTTGGTTGCTCTGGACATTTCTATCGTACATGGCCATAAGCTCGGTGATCATCTTCTGCCCATTTTCCGGAACTCCAAAGCCTGATAGGTCGATGGCCTGGACTGGTTGCTGAAGAGCTACAGGCTTCATTTCACCCATATGAAACTTGGTTGCTCCATATGCTAAGTGATTGTTTCTGTATGGACAAACCATTTGGTGGTTGTCCCTTGAACTCCTGTCTTGAAATCCCATATTCATTTTGCTGTGAGGACA